AAGTCTTTAAAACTTAGGGTCGCCTGGGTGGCTCAGTCGTTAAGCATCTGCCTTCGGCTCAGGTCATGATCCCAGGGTCCTGGGATCAAGCCCCACATCGGGCTCCCTGCTCGGTGGGAAGTCTGCTTCTCCCTCTCCCACTCCCCCTGCTTGTGTTCCTCTCTCGCTGTCACTCTCTGTCAAATAAATAAATAAAATCTTAAAAAAAAAAGTCTTTAAAACTTAGATTTGTAAATATGTGGGTCACTCTTTTCAATTCACTGCTTTATTCAGTTCTTTTTCTTGAATATGCTTTAAAATGGAACTCCAGGGGCGCCTGGGTGGCTCAGTTGGTTAAGCGACTGCCTTTGGCTCGGGTCGTGATCCTGGAGTCCCGGGATCGAGTCCCGCATCGGGCTCCCTGCTCGGCAGGGAGTCTGCTTCTCCCTCTCACCCTCCTCCCTCTCCTGCTCTCTCTCTCAAATAAATAAATAAAATCTTTAAAAAAAAAAAAAAATGGAACTCCAAAGGTTTCTTGTCAAAACTTTAACTTCTTTGACATTAAACAATATGAAAAAAAACCTTATTTGATTATCAAGTTACATGTATGCAGAAGAATTTGATACTGGGCGCCTGGGTGGCTCTTTCATTAAGCATCTGCCTTCGGCTCGGGTCATGATCCCAGGGTCCTGGGATCGAGCCCCACGTCGGGCTCCCTAATCAGCTGGAAGCCTGCTTCTCCCTCTCCCGCTCCCCCTGCTTATGTTCCTGCTCTCACTGTGTCTCTGTCAAATAAATAAATCTTAAAAAAAAAGAATTTGATACTTGGGTATTCCAGGTGTATTTACTGGAAATTAAAAATTAGAATAATTAATCATATTACCTTTCTTGGCCAGTGTCAGCTACTATGTCCTACTAGCAATATACAACTATATACATATATATTTGTGTGTATATAGCATGTTGTTTTATACATATATAGAGATATATGGTATACCTGTGTGTCTATGTATGTGTCTTATACAAGTATTGGTGTTAGAGTTTGAGTCTTAGGAAATATCTACAATTTTTTTTCCAGCTTTATTGAGATATAATTGACATATCCCAGTTTCTTAATTGATATGAATATTGCTTCATCTAGTCACTTTAATTAGTAGGGGATTTGTAGGTCCTTTTATTTTTCTTTCCTTTTTTTTTGTTGTTGCAGGTCTTTTTAAAGAGTTTTTTTTTTTTAAGTCTTTATTTGTCAGAGAGAGCACAAGCAGGGGGAGTGGCAGGCAGAGGGAGAAGCAGGGGAGCCTGATGTGGAGCTCGATCCTAGCACCCTGGGATCATGACCTGAGCTGAAAGCAGACACTTAACTGACTGAGCCACCCAGGCACCCCTTTAAAGAGTTTTTCAATGAAGAGTGAAATATATTTGGAAATGAATGTATAGTTTTAAAGCTGATAAATAATTTTGTCTGTTTTTTTGTCTTAGGCTGGAAATTATGATGCCTGTCTGCAACACCTTGCTTGCCTACAAGAAGTAAACAAAGATGATTATAAAATAATTTTGAATACAGCAGTGGCTGAGTTTTTTAAAAATAACCAAATGACAACAGATAGTTTGAGACAGACACTTAACCAGCTGAAGAATCAGGTGATATGCAAATGAATTTAGCTGTAAAAATACTGTGGTATTCTCTCAATTGTGGAATAGAAATACTTAAGGAAAATTAATAGGATATGTCTGATATTGATAGCACAATTTCTAGTGTATCTAAAACACTTGCATTAATTTTATAAAATTATTATTCCAGGAAATGGAAGGTATGTTGTATAATTTTATTTTCTATTGTATTTTTAAATTGAAAAGAATAGATTAATATACCAAATTTGAATGAGCTTTGGAGTGTTGAGAAAAAATTAAAGTGGAAATATATGAAAAAGCTTAACCGCTGAGATTATCCTTTTTTTATAACTGCAAAGATCTGATTATTTATAATGTCAAATTGTTTTAGCACTTTGGATCAGGACATGATTAATTGATTAAATAGAAGATATTCTGATTCATATATGGTTTGGGGCTTGTCTTGGTACATTGGTCATAACAGCAACATTTCTCACATCACAGAGTTAGAGCTTTGATAGTCAAAAGGGCTGATGATGAGGATGATAATAGTATCAGATAGCAGACATTTATTGCTTATTATGGAACAAGGCCCTGCTAAGAACTTTGTATGCAGCATGTCACTTATTCTTCCCAGTAGTCCTATGAAACAGCTACTATAATTTTTCTCATTTTACAGATGGGAAAGCTGAGGTACAGATAGCTTGTATAAATTGTCCAAAGACACAAAGCTCTTAAATGAAAAGAGCTCCATCAACCCAGTCCTGTTTGACTCTAGGGTCTGTGCTTCTGATTACTGCTTCATACTGTAGAAGGTCTTAAGACCTTTTTGAGCGCCTGTCCTTGTTCGTGAATACCGCTATATAGTAGAGTATCACCCTAATATGTGATACAGTTAGAAATAAGTGACCCCTTCAGGGTCTTCATAATTTTTTATAGGAGTAAAGCTACTTTACAGTATCACCCTAAACGTGGTATTGTTAGAAATAAGTAACCTGTTCACGCTCTTCCTAATTCTTTACAGGAGTGATTTTTCAACCCTATTATAGTTCCTCAATGAAAATGAGAATAGGGGCGCCTGGGTGGCTCAGTCGTTAAGCGTCTGCCTTCAGCTCAGGTCATGATCCCAGGGTCCTGGGATCGAGCCCC